CACAAATTCACTATAAAATAAGTTTTAAATGTAAAAAAAATCTCGAATATTAAAAAAAGTCTCAAACTAAATCCATAATAAAGATAAATGTCAAATTAATAGATGAAGTATCATCACTAATTCATTTATTTTGACTTAAATGAGGAGCATCTTCATCAAAGTAAGCATGCAGCTCTCGAAACTCATGCTCACTATCACTATCTTCAATTCCATCACCAATATGGGATTAGATGGAAAATCATGGATTGAGATCTCAATGCTCTAATATGGATTTCCTTTTGCCGATATCATTTAAATGAAAACTTACATGCCAACAGGAATAGACACATCTGGAAGTTGGTATTCTTCCTCGAGAGTAAGGTTATAATCAGCAAAACAAAATGGAACGTCAATAAGCCCATTAACCATGGTTCTTGCCAAAAAGTAATAAGTAGAAGGGTTCTAGTTAAATAGTTGATCGAACCTAAAGTTAAACGAAAATATATCGAAAGCCTTTTTGATTATTAAAAAAAATATCAAGGATAGGCCTCGAACTTAATGTGATTCTCACAAAGGATTAAAATCCATAAGGCTTTTAGATGTAAGTTTCCATCACTCAAAATAATTCATAAAACCTCCATTGCAATCCTTGAGCTAGGTATTTAGTTGCAACCTTACGAATTCTTAGGCTTAGCTCATAAAACACATATATCGGGTAAAGCATTATGTGAATCATACCATTATCAATTATGGTAGCTTGCTTTAGTTAAATTAAGGTAGTTTTTAGCATAAGCAAATGGTTTTAATTGAATTGCAGATAGATACAGCATCAAACAAACATGTAATGCTGCTCTAAAAGATAACACATAGGATCTAATGAGTAACAAACAAACACGCATTATAAATCTTAGATCTATATATTCAAAATCATTCTCTACTCCAACAAAACAACAAAAGAAAATTAGAATTTCTTCCATTTCTTGAGTTTTCTCGATAGCCAAACAGAAATAGCAAGATGGAGGGAGTGGATGCATTACCTTCCAATTGATCGCATGGAAGAATCCCATGAAATTGTCGTAGGCTAGTCGGAGGCCCGAGTGAAGCTTCGAAGAGAGCTTTTGAACGAGATCCACCATTTGATTCATGTGGTCATCAAGAGTCGGTTGGGCTGCTTTGTTGCTTTTATTTAGCGAAAGAGATGACTAGATGAGGCGGTGATTGGTGGTGAGATCTTGACGGAAGTGGAGCAAGGAGATCAGGCTGCTTTGCCAGAGGTGATGAGGCGGTGACTGGTGTGGTGAGATGCCGATGGACTCACGAAGATGGAGCAGGGATGAGGGAGAGGGATGGCCAATGGGATGATGTCTTTTACTTTCTAATTTTGTTTTTTTTTGCATGTGTTTTTACAAACTAGTACTTTGATTAGGGTTTTTAGATTTAATTTTAGTTTAAATTTAAGAATTTTAATGTAATATCATTAAAAAGATGGGATAAAATAGGTAAATTACATTAAAAATTTTTTTTTAAAAAAAAAGTTAATAAAGGCATCACAGATTCTGCCTGGCGAGTGGGACGGGCTGGGCGTATGGAGTGGGTCTGGCGAGTCTAGCGAGCTAACACGGGCCAACTTGCAAAATGGGCCAATGCATGAAACCGGCTTGTTTTTAAGCTCAGGTCCGATTGATTGGTTCAACCGATTGAGCCGGGCCGGGTTTTAAATCCACGCTAAAAACTATGTCATTTTAATAAAAGCAAATATCCTAAATCAAATATCCTATACCATGCGATGTGTAATTTAATTTGTCATACCAATAATTTGAGCACAGTCAATTTATGTCCAACGCAACTTTCATACCAAACCAATACGAACGTAAATAAGTGAATAAATTCTCATAATTTATTGAATGATAAATATATAGCTACAACTCAATTAAGATATATAATTTGTATAGTGGATACATTCAACCAAACTACAAAAAAAAAAAAAAAAAACTGAATAATAATGGGTGACTAATATATGAACAACTTAAAAAGGTTGAGTGATGATTTTGTTTGGTTTCTAAATTGATGGACCAAAATGTTGATTTTGACAAATTTGGGTGACCTCCCCGTGAAATTCACTGAAATTCTATTATTTTCTCCTCAAAAGGTTTAAGGTAAAAAAAATCTCAACTAATTAAAAATTTTGTTCAATAAAATGATTTTAAAATGCCCAATAAAGTGTATTTTAAAGCCCACTAAATGGGCCAACAATTTTTTAATCTAAAGTCCAAGTGGTTTTCTGTCATTTAAAATTTTAGTTATTTTTACTAAATTAAAAATTGTGTTCACTAAAATACTTCAAAAATGCTATTAAGTATATTTTAAAGCTCAACTAAATGGACCAATAATCTTACATTCTAAAGATTAGTTTAAAATTACAATTAATACTTAAGATTTATTTTAACATTTTATGTAAAAAAAATATAAAAATTGATAAATTTTCCTATTTATTTTTTAAAAAATGAACAATTAATTTTTTTTGGGTAAAAATTATATAAAAAACTTATATATATAAGTTAAAGAATACTATAACAATCTTAATAAACAAAAAAAAAAAAAAATATATATATATATATATATACACTGTAACAATCATTATACAAACTTAAGTTTTCACCAAAGCTGCGCAAAGCGTTGCATGGCCCTCAGCCTCTAGCCCCTAGTAATAATAAAAAATCAAAAACAAAGCATCAATGGGCTTTCCTTAAAAAAAAAAAAAGAAAAAGAAAAGGGAGATGTCATTGGGCTAATTTGGGTTGAGCCTTTAGCTTTTGGTTTGGGCCCTACTGTGTCCTGACGAGTGACTGTCCCCAGAACATGGGTCAAAGCAAGAAAAACTTGACAACGTCCCAACGGTCGGCCGCCAAGCTCTAGACCTTCTTCTCACATTTCTCCTTGAATAACGAAAATGAAAGCCATTGACGATCTCTTGGTTGGCGGTGGCGGTGCTCCTCCTCGTTTCAGGTTACCATTTAACGCTATCGGAGTAAATGCCCCGTAAGAACAATAAGAACAAATCGAATCCCACCACAAGAAAAATGATTTTTAATAATAGAAATTTATGATGAATTTTAAAATTATCACTATAATTTATTACAATT